TAGTGGTACACACCCATAAACCCAGAGGCTTCAGAGGCTGAGGCAGGAGAATTGCAAGTTCAAAGCCAACCTCAGCAACTTAGCAAGGCCCTAAGCAACTCAGTGAGACTCTCTAAATAAAATACAAAAAAAGGGATGGGGATATGGCTCAGTGGTAGAGTGCCCCTGGTACAAAAAAAAAAAAAATTCAATCCATTACAGGAACCTTTTTGGAAGTCAATTGACCATAAAGGTAGGGGTTTATTTCTATACATTTAATTTTGTTATATTCATTTATCTGTCTGTCCTTATGTAGGTACCACATTATCTTGATTACTGTAACTTTGTAGTAAGTTATTTTTTTTATAACATTATCTTGATTACTGTAACTTTGTAGTAAGTTATTTTTTTTATATTAGCCAATCTTTTACTATATTTATTCTTAACAAATTTTGAGGGGATTATCAGCACTTCAACCATGTTGATACAATAACCACACTTAAATAGCTCACACTATAGTATTTAAATAATTTTTATAGCACATCATAATTTACAAGGTATCTTTGTGTCCACTGTATTATTTGCTCTTCACTATGATCTCAAGAAGGGTATAAGACACAGGGCAGAGGAAGATGCTTACAGAAGCTAGATGTTTCCAGAGAGTGGTTCTCTGTGATGGTATTTTCACTCACAAAAGTCAGGTTGTGCTGGTCATACTGTAAGTTTTCTTAAGTAGATATACTACACTTATAATTCTTGTTTTATAAATGTGAAGTTTTGTGGGTTTTTTTCCTTTTGTGTGTGTGGTACTGGGGATTGAACCCAAGGTCTCATGCTTGCTAGGCAAGCATTTCTATATATCCCAACTCTTTTTAAAATTTTTTGAGACAGGGTCTCATTCAGTTGACCAAGCTGGCCTCAAGCCTGTAATGCTCTGGCCTCAGCCTCTGGGGCTAGCTGGGATTATAGGCATATACTACCACACTTGAATATGTTTTTAAGTGATCTGTACATGTGAAGATATTTTAAGTGATGTTTCTCAAGCATTAGCTAGTTATAAGGATCATCTTAAGAACTAGTTGAAAACAGATTCCTAGGCCTCAACCTGAGAGATTCTGATTCAATATGTCTGAAATAGGACCAGAGAACTGTTATTTCTGACAAGCTCCAGGATGATATTCCTGCTGCTGGTCCACTGCCCACACCAAGTAGCATGTGTTAATGAACATATGTTAGGAATTTGCTTCATGTTGTTAATTCAGAGTTGGCAACTCTACTTTTACCTTCAGAATTTGCTTAGAAGCCATGCCTATAATCCCAGTGGCTTGGGAAGCTGAGGCAGGAGGATCACAAATTCAAGGCCAGCTTCAGCAATTTATTGAGGCTCCAAACAACTTAGCAAGACCCTGTCTCAAAATAAAAAATAAAAAGGGATGGGGATTTGGATTAGTGGATAAGTGCCCCTGGGTTCAATTCCCAGTTCCAAAAATAGAAAAGAAACTTAGTTACCAACACAGCAGCCTTTCAAAGGTGATTATGTCAAGAAAGATTAAATACCATTATTGCAGGAGTGGTAGAGAGTTCCTTATAAAAGGATGAACTGGGGCCCTCAACCACCTGGTGCCTTCTGCCTTGTCATGATACAACCAGAAGGCCCTCACCAGATGCCAGTCCCTTCAAGTTCATCTTCCCAGTCCCCATAATCATGAGCCATTAAATTTCAGTTCATATATAAATTAAACAGTCTGGTTAACCAGTCTATAGCAACATACAAAGGACTAAGACACAACTGGCACCTTGTTACCATTTCTTTTTTGTTGTCACCTTTTCCTTCCTTTGTTGTTTATGAAGCTGGCTGTATTTGTCATATGAGTTTTAAAACAGTTATAACTGCAGATAGTTCAGGAATAAGAAATATTCTTTTACTACTCCAAGCATCTGTGACCAGTGTAAGCAGCAGGATCTCAGCTTTGTAACAATGTCCAGGGCCTTGAAGGATGGCCCTTATGGTCTTATTTGAAGAAGGTAGACATACACAGGTGTCAGACAGGCACTGATATTAGAGTTAAATATATACAAAGAAAAGAAGACATAAAGACCTAATGAAACATTCTGATCAGAGTGACTAATAAGAAGATCTAACTGGCATTCGTATTTTCTCAGAGAATAGGACCAACGGTGGCCCTGTCCTGAAGGACATGTGATCCCTGGGTTCTTTTTCTATCCTATTCTTTATCCCAGGCAGAGAGCAGATGCCATTCTTAACCCTTTGCTTCAAGCCTCTCTCTTTCCTTCCCAGTGACTGCCATGTGGCATGGGTCTCTGCCCAGGCTCGTAATGAGACAATAGCAAGAAGACTATGGGATGTCAGCTGTGACCTGCTGGGACTCCCAATGGATTGACTGGTGGTAGTTGGACCCCAAAGAAGACTGCAGCTGAAGATACAATGCTCCTGACAAAATGTTTCTCCTTCAAGGTGGCCAAACCTGAAGCACAAAAAGACAAACCTTCTGGCCTAGCCTACGTGGTATCCAGTTAAATTCCAGTACACTGCCAGACTCATGTTAATACCTTGCATTTGTCCAGACTTACTTTGTTCTTGTTACTAGCAATATCATTGGATAAGATAACCTCATAAGACCTGCACAGCTCATATTTTCCTTCTGAAACCTACTCCTACTTAACAGAATCTAAGCTCTGGAAGGTTGATGTTTGGAAATACGGAATAGTCTACCTTCTTTGTTCACACTGTAATTTCTCTCAACCAACCTTTACTTCAAGGGAGGCACATTGCAACCTCAGCTGAATCCCACGAGTCACAGTGGCTTGACTCAAAAGCAGGGCTTCATTGCACCAACACTGGGATTCTTTCAGGAAATCCTTCACTGAATCTGGATTATGGCCTGGCCTTATTTCTCACAACCTAAAGCCACTGATGTTAAGATATTTACCCAAGTCCAAACCACAGAAGAACTTCCTTTTCTAAGAAGTTTGTATTTGGGGGAGAGCAGAAATTTTTTAAAAATCAACATGTCATTTTCCTACCATGTCTCAAACCAGTAAGAGGGTAACGAAAATAGCATTATTAAACAACAGGCCACTTGGCTGTACTGACTCCAGTCCCATGGAGGCCTCCTTTTTGTGCCTTGAAACTAGAAAAGGAAAGGGAAGTGTTTTCGGTCATTGTCATTGTGTTATCTTTTTGTGTCTTCTTGTGTATTTATGCAGTTGGGAGTATTTTCACAAAATTTACAACAGCCACAAAGAAACAGTGGCATCAAAGCAGACACTAATGTAAGGATATGATCAGAGATGGAACAAACCAGTGTCATTCATTTGTTTATATAAATGAGTACAGCTGCAAAGAGAAATAGACTGTATATGTTGGTAACCAGCCAATAAGAAGCAGGTGGGTATAGGGACAAGTTAAAAAAAAAGTTCCTAAAATTCTATATTTTATTTGGAGAACTTTTATCAAAAGTAATGTTGCCAAAGAAGTCTGAGGAATTGGTAATGTTCCCATCACTTCATTGAAGTATGTGATTCTAAGAGAGTTTGTGACTTTCTTGGACTGAAAACTATATATTAACTTTAGTAAGGAGAAGTTATAGGACCCCATCCTTCACTTCTCATATATTTATAAACTGATAAATCTTTTATTGGACTGTTTTGACCATTAAACTATATATTTAGAAATGGTCATTTCTAGGAACATTGGAAAACTTGGTAATAGTACAGAATAACTCAATATTTTACGTAATTTATGTGGAACTGTCAATGACAAAAATTCTTTTTGACTATTTATCATGTTTTTAATCAGAATAAAAGTGTAAGAATTAAAAGTTTCAAGAGTCAAAAGAAGAAAGCACCTATTATAATTATGTAATCATTTTTCATTATAAAAGATAAATTTGTCCCAGAATCTAACTACAGTACAATCTCAGTTCACATGCCATTAATTTGTGTTGTTGATAATTTGACCATTCACTCATTTCCTACTTAACTTTATGACGTTGACCAAAGGTCACTTTTTCTGCAATCCTTGATCATCCCCAGAATTTTCTCTCTGTACCAGCCTTTTATTTCTGTAACACAGTAACACTACACTGCTGCTCACAACCAGAGACTGTATCATCTCTCTGCACAGTGCATGTTAAGAGCTCAACTAATTTATTTGTTTAAAGCAATGGTCAGTGAACTCAAATCTAATAAAAACAAGGATCTAAGAGAGAGAAATCACCAAAGCAGGGAGGCGTGGTGGAACATGCCTGTAATCCCAGCCACTGGAGGCTGAGATAGGAGAATGGCAAGTTCCAGGCTGGCCTCAGTAATTTAGCAAGGCTGACCTCAGCAACTTAGTGAGACCTTAGATTTTTTTTTTTTTTTTAAAGGGCTGTATGAGCAGTTTAAGTATTGGCTCTTTAGGCAAACTACGCAATCACTATAAACAGGAATCCACACCCACGGAGTGTAGGAAAAAACTTTATAATTGCTAAGTTCACTTAGTGGGAGACCATACCTCTTTTCTTCAAGCCCGGCCCATCTTCTACCCCACATTATAAACCACCCAAGGACAAAGTAAATTATTTGATTCATCAACATGCGCAGATTCCCATCAACACCTACACTCAAACGCCTTTTGTAAACTAATGCACAGCCTAGTGCACGTGGCGGTTCCAGTCCGTATTTTGAGGTCGCACTGACTTCCCCAGTGCACCACCGCCCGACGGCCCGCCTATCCTTCTAGAGCTAAAAGCCAACACGTAGGACACGAAGTGAGGAAGTCAGGGTGGCAAAGAAGGGAGGGATAACCGTGAAGAGGATGTTCGGGACCATGTTATACTCCAGCGCAAAAACCGGAACACGGCAGCCCCACGGGCGCGTGACCCACAAGCCGAGCGTCCTGCGCCCTAACTACAGCCCCCGGCATGCACTGCGTCCAGCCCCGCCCCTCGCCGGCCGGCGGGGCCCGGGAGGAGGCAATCAAGCTGCCCGCGCCGGGGCCCTCCTCGAGCCCTTCTGCTGTGGCGCCTTCTCTAACCCGGGCTGGATATTTCCAGGGCCGCAGACGGCCGCTCTCCCCGACACGGCGCCACTTCTGCAGAAGTCGCCAGACATTGTGGCCCTCCGGGCTTTCTGTCAGGCTTTCGTGCCCGACGCTTCCGCAGTGAGCGGCCGGCCGGGTGGGCGTTCCGGCTACGAAGGACCCCGCCGCGGGCCCCGGAAGCGCCTGGTTCCGGGCATTGGTGGTGCGGCGTTAGCCGTGATGGCTTTGGGACTGGGCGGCTGACCGCTGGGCTAGGAGCAGGCCCAGGGCCTAGAATCTCAGTGGCCGCTTCTTAAGCACGGCTTCACCATGGCCACCTCGGCCGCCTCCTCTGAACATTTCGAGAAGCTGCACGAAATCTTCCGCGGCCTCCATGAAGATCTACGAGGGGCACCCCAGCGGCTGCTGGGGACGGCTGGGACCGGTGAGGCGGGGGCGGGACAAGCCGTGGGGAGCTCGAGTTTAGGAAGAAAGAATCTCCTCCCTCCTCCCGGGCACCGACCCCTTGCTCCCCGCTTCTCTCCCTCAGACACGCCCCCTAGAGCTGGCACGTCCCAGCGTTCAGGGGTCTCCCTGCTGTCACTGAGAGGGGGCTGGGGATGTGGCCAGGGTGCCATTTCTCTGGGATCTTCCTGTGGCCTTCAGAATTTTCTCGTTCCCCAACACACACGGTGGCAAGAGGATCGTACGATTGTTAAATCTACCGTTCTATTTCAGTAGAATGGGTTTCTTTTGTAACTCTGTATTTTGTTGTAGTCACTTAAAAGCATTATTATCAAGAGAGGCTTCATCAGACAAAAGAATCTATAACACAGAATAGGGCCAGGAACCCAAAAGAATCATACCTTCTGGCTATTGGAATGTAAGGGTTCATGGGAGTTTGCCAGAGGGGGGATGAAAAGAGGTAATGAAATTTTTTTAAAAAATGAATACTCTCAACTGGAGCTTAGGGTGTAAATGGAAAAGCAGCTAGAGACAAGAAAGGTGAAACACACTGTGGAGGGACCTAAATGTCATATTAAAATTCTTGGACCTGATATAGAGAATCAGTAAAGGATTTTAAGCAGCTGATTAATATGAATTTTATTTTAGAAAGAGGGCTGTGATGGCTGGATAAGAGGCTGGCTATAGGAGACCTTGTTAGGAGCTTGAGTGACAGTCATCTAGAGGGAGGTGGTTCTAAGCAGAAATTAAGCAGACTCATTAGCTATTGAAGGAGTGAGAAAAAAGGTTCAAGGGTTCTAAGTTTTTTCACTTGGTCAGTTGAGTGAGTGATGAACTTGAAATAAGAAAAGAGAAGCAGCCAGGCATAGTGGCACATGCCTGTAATCCCTGCTACTGCAGATGCTGGGGCAGGAAGATCACAGGTTCTAGGTCAGCCTAGGCAACTTAGGGAGACCTGTCTCAAAACAAAATAAAAAGGCTGGGGATGTACCTCAGTGGTAATGCACCCCTGTGTGTGTGAGAGAGAGAAGTAGACTTCTTTGCTTGGAGGAGATCATCAAGGGTAACTTTATAATAGAAATCACAATGCATATATCTGTTTTAGCTTAACAAAAATATTTTTTCTGCCATCAGAAATATCATTTATGAAGAACATATTAATGTGAATGGAGAGACAGCATAGTAATACTTAAAAGCAAGAATTTTAGAGCCAAACTGGGTTAAATATACATTTTGATAGCTATGTGATCTTGCAAGTTATTTTAACCAAATTAGTTTCCCTTGCAGAATGGGGATAAATCATACTATTTAACTTCATAGGATCTTGGTAAGGAATTAATGAGTTAATGTATGCAAAGCCCTTAGAATATTACTTCGCAATAATAAGAACTGTTAGTTATTAACATATGGGAAATTTGATATTTAAATGAAAACTAATACCAATTCTGTATACAACTAACTACTCTTCTGTAGCTCTGCTTTTTCCCCCCAGAACATTTATTTTCTGATATAGTAGACACTTTACATGTTTCTGATATTTATATGAAATGTTTGTTTCCTTTCATTGGAAAGATAGTTTCAGTGTGGTCCATGAACCAGCAGCATCAGCACCATCTAGGAACTTGTTAGAAATATAAATTTAGATATATAGACCCACTGAATCAGAAAACTGTTTTGACAGCTCTCCAGGGGATTTCTGAAGCAAACTCAAGTTTGAAATCCACTGAACTAGAATATAACTCAGTATTTTATTTGCTTTGCTTATTATGAATCCTGAATTCCTAAAATATTGCCTAGCACATGCTAAGTGATAAATATTTATTGAATGATTGAATTGTGTAAATACTGTGAATTGTTGTAAAGAAAATAACTGTGTATTGGGCTGGGGTTGTAGCTCAATGGTAGAGCACTTCCTACCATTGTGTGAGGCACTGGGTTCAATCCTCAGCACCACATTAAAATAATAATAATAATAATAATAATAAAGGTATTGTGTCCATCTACAACTAAAAAAATCACTGAATATTAAAACTAATAGTGTGTTTTTATTCTGTTTTTACTTTTTCATTACTCTTAAAATTGATATATGCAACTACTTTTTAAGGGAATATGATGCTCCAAATTCTTTTATTTTGTTTATTTGTTTTTATATGGTGCTGAAGATCAAACCCAGTGCCTTAGCGCTCTATCATGAGCTATAATTCCAGCCCTATATGCAACTATTAGAACAACAAAGATGGAGATTTTTATTTCCCTAAAGAACAGTCCACATTCAATTTCTGCCATTAAAGGATAATAGACACCAAGTGTCATTTTAGGAAGTTTTTGTAGCCATGACAATCCATTTATTATCATATACTATAATTATCAATCTATTTAATATAATATCAAGACCTACAGCAGGATTTCAAAATTCAGTTTATATGTGGTGCTGAAAATCAAACCCGGTGCCTCACACATGCTAGGCAAGTGCTTTACCACTGAGCTACAACCCCAGTCAATTTCTTAATTTAATTAGTATGTTAAATGCCTGTACTCATGATTTCTAGCTTTGGTTTTACAGTACCTGAAGACATCTTTCCATATGTCTTAATGTTGTATGTAAAAAGTCTTTGAAAAGAGAAAAAAAAAAGTTTTTGAAAGTTTTTCGTTTTCATTCACATAAACTTTAGTGTATGTATATGAGACCCTATTATTTTGGGGGCTTGAAAAAGTTATCACCACAATACCATGTACAGAAGGCTGATAAACACTAGTTACAGTCTTCGGAATTGTAATTATTCCAACTCTCTTCATACTCTGTGGTGAATTTGGTTTTCTCCTACATATTCCTTCCTACCTGAGGATTTATTTTCAAAATTAGGTAGGGGCTGAAGGTTATATAGTTCAGTGGTAGAGCACTTGCCTAGTATATATTAGGCCCTGGGTTCTATGCCTTGCACTTGCTAAGTACTTGCTATTTGTATTATCTCATAATCCTTTCATACACTTCCATGAGGTCAGTACTATTATATTTCCTACTTAAAGGTCTGGAGGTTTGCTTTTAAGTCATGTGTGAGATCAAGCGACCCATTAGTCCACACACAGAGGCCGTAGATCATAGAAATGCCACAGAGGGGCGCCAGAAGCAAATGAACCACATATTTTTCAGAGAGAGCGTATTTGATTTCATATAGGCTGGGATGGGGGTTGTAGCTCAGTGGTAGAGCACTTGCCTAGCACGTTTGAATGGGTTTAATCCTCAGCATCACATTAAAAAGTGAATAAATAAAATAAACGTATGAATGGAATCTATAATTCTTTTTTAAAAAAGTACAGACTGTAGAGCACTCCTAGATGGGAAATGTGTGCTTTATGAAATCAGGTGGATGATAGAACATACCAACTACAAAAAGACGTAATAACAGGATCACAGGGAAGTTTGCAAAAGAATACGGTTTCGGTGGACTATCTCTTCTCCCATATTTTTATTTATGTAGTTCGTTTTTAATCATTCTCAAATTTGCCCCTTGAAATCACAGATTTTTTTTTTTTTAGATCCATTAGCAAAGAAAGAATAAAGGAGGAGACCTTATGACTAACAGAGTTGTAGAAAAATGTGAGCCAGGAGGGGAATGCACATATGTGTACAACACTGCTTTATACTGTCTGGCTTAGATCAGGAATAGATGTACTTGAATTTGGAGATATGCCATTTCAGAGAAGTGACTACACTAAGCACTTTTGTGACAGCTTATTGCAAAATGACACAATACTGCTCCATGGCAGTATCTGTTTTTGACTATTATTATTTCACTGTTGGTGGCTAAGAACACAGTCCCCTTGAGAATAGTAACAGCTGCTTTGATGTCCATTTCAGTTGTGTCTCGGATAGCCAAGAGGCTGTTTGCCATGGCTGAACTTTCCTCCTATTAAATAAATAAAAAATGAAGCCATTTTTTTGTTGTTTGTTTGTTTTAATATTTTTTAATTGTAGATGGTCACACTACCTTTATTTTATTTATTTGTTTTTTTATGTGGTGCTGGGAACTGAACCCAGTGCTGGACACATGCCAGGCAAGCGCTCTACCACTGAGCCACAACTCCAGCCCCACGCCATGGGTTTTATGAACAGTGTGGACAAATAATTCACCTGCAGTGACTTATGTATGCTAAAGGAGTGTCACTATAGTAAAGGATCTGTTGTCATTTTCTCTTTCAGGCAGTAACAACATCTAGAGGAGATGTAAACTTTTAGAAGCTATGGACAAAGTTTAAAAAGACAAAGTAAGCCAAGTATGTTGGCATAGCCCATAATCCCACCGATGTAGGAGGCTAAGGCAGGTGGATTACAAATTTGAGGCCAGCCTCAGCAACTTAGTGAGGCCCTAAGCAACTTAGCAAGACTGTCTCAAAATAAAAAGGGCTGGGGACTTATCTCGGTGCCTCTAGTACTTTAAAAAAAAAAAAAAGTCAGTTACCTTGTTCTGGAGGTGTTTATCTCAAGTTGAGAATATAGAACAAGTACATAAGTGATTTGTGATCAGTTAAAAAGCAGCTGATAACTGATATAATAAATATTGTTGTGATTAACAGTGTAAATCCATGCAAACCTTTAGCGATGTTGCATCTTATGTGGATTGAAAGGGTCTAGAGATGGATGGTGGTGATGGTTGCACAACAATGTGAATGTACTTATTGCCACTGAAATGTATGCTTAAAAATGGTCAAAATGAGGCTGTAATACAGACTACTTGGGAGGCTAAGGCACGATTGCAATTTTAACTGAGACCCTGTCTCAAAATAAAAAATAAAAGGACTGAGGATATAATCGCTCAGTGGTAAAGTACTCCTTAGGTTCAACCCCGAGTCCCTCCCCACCAAATGTCAAAATGATAGATTTTTTTTGTTATGTGTACTTTACCACAATTCAAAAGAAACAGAACACTGTATCGTCAGATTGTAAAGGTAATCTCAAAAGATTAGAAAAACATTATAAGCAATAGTAACTTTGTGGATAATAGATTATGTGTAGATTTCCAATGAGAACATTGATTTGTATACATTTTTTTAAAATTCAAGTTCCCCATAAATTGAACTGATTTCTTCCTCATTTTAGAACCAAGGGAGGAGATCAGGTACCAAAGATAAGAAGATAGTTATCTACATTTTCACTTTGAGGCAGGCCCAAAGCTGGCACTAGAACCTGACACCCCTGACCAACTAGGACTCTCCCCCTATACAAATATTTACCATATCACAGCATTCAAAATGCCTTCATGATTTTTTCTGCCAGGTGTGTTGTATACCTATAAGCTGAGTGACTCAGGAGGGAGGCATAGGCAGGATGATTCCAAATTCAAGGCCAGCCTCAGCAACTTAATGAGACCCTTGTCTTAAAGTAAATAAGGATGTAGCTCAGTGAGTGGTAAAAGAAACCCTGGATTCAAGTTCCAGTACCAAAAAACAAACAAGAACTTACTAATTTTTGCTATATAAAATGCCTTTTTTTTTTGTACCAGGAATTGAGCCCAGGGGGCACCTAACCCACTGAGCCACATCTCTAACCCCTTTTATTTTTTATTTTGAGACAAGTTCTTGCTAAATTGCTGAAGCTGGCTTTGAACTTGCCATTCTCTTGCCTCAGCCTCCCGAGCCACTGGGATTATAGGTGTGTGACACCGTGCCTGGCCTGAGTGCCATTTTTATTATTGTTTTCTCTTTATTAACTCATTAATGTAAAGTACATTTATTTAATATGTAAAGATACTTTAAAAAGAAACTTGGTATATTTTAAATGGGAAATTTCTGTAAATGATCAGAAAAAAATATAATGAAAACAGAAATTTTAGTCTGTTGCCAGCGCAGACGGTATGAAAAGTTCGGCTACGTGGGAAAATTCTAATAAGGGAGTTTAAAGACACAGACTCTATTTATCTTCAAACCAGCTCCAGGATGACTCCTCAAACCTGCAGCCTCCAGCTACCCAAGGAAGTAATGAGGTTTACTGAAAAGGAGAGAGGGAGAGGGAGAGAGAGAGAGAGCGCGCGCACCAGGGAGAGGACTTCTATTGGGGAACAAAAAATTCTGGGGAAAATCCCATCCAATGAAGCTTAAGGGGGACAGTATTCCAAGGTCAGGTGAGATGATTGGATCTTCAAGGGCTGTGGTCAGGCGCACCTCCACATGGACAAAGCCCTTCAGACCCAAGGAGGGTGGGGAAAGCTCTAACACAAAGAAAAGTTATCTGAGCGCCTCTCATCCAGCCAGGGAGATAACTCAATCATGTGCAAGGATGGCCTCCCACAAGAAATAATTCTTTTCTTAGATGTTATTACTTTAATACTGAAGCATGTTCTATTTTTGTTAAAAGAGGAGATTAGTAATTTATAGGTATTAAAGACAGCACCAAAATGACATTGGAAGGGTTGAAAGAGAACTCAAGGTAGAGTGACAGGTCTTGTATGCAAGTCATTACCTATGTCACCACCCAGGAGGAATGAGTACCACACCAATGAGCAGAGTTGGTGAATTTTGAATTTTATTTGTAGAAAAGCAGTGCTTCAGGGTTAACATGGAAGAAGTGATTTACTGTGGGGTGAAGGTGAGAACGCATTTCAGCGATCCGTATTGGTAAACTTATTGATGAAAGTTTGCCTGGCCCTTCAGTTATGATAGGGAAAATGGTTGAGAATGATTAACTTAGACCTGTAGTGTTTCTTAGCATAGGTTTTCTTGTTCCTTGAATACTAAATGCCAATAGTAATACCACCCACCTCAGTCATCATGATCATAAGTTCCCCATATACTTCCAAATGCCTTTTAAGAGTGATTAAGTTCCCCCACTCCCAGTGGGGGAGAAATGAGAAGGTTATCCTAAGTGGATGGAATGGCCTCTACAAATATGTGGAAGAAACAATGAATGTTACTTGTCTTTTTTCTAGAAGAGAAGAAGAAGTTGATCAGAGATTTTGATGAAAAGCACCAGGAAGCAAATGAAACGGTGAGAACAAGGAACAAGTTCTTGTTTCTTTTTCTTGGTGTTGGGCTTTTCCAGAAGTAATTCTGTGACCTGATCATAGATTACTTTTTTTCTATCTATTGATCCTTGATTGTGACTATTTCTTATTAATGAGGCTACTTGATGGGGATGGGTGGTTAGGAGGTTGAAAAACACAAATGGGTGAAACTTGGAAGACTCTCCTAAAATACTGCATTCCTTATGTGAGTAGTAAGGGCATTCTCACTCCTTAATCTGAGTGGTATTTTCAGATCTCTTCATAAGAGCTAGCCTCTAGGATAGATTACTGTTCTTTGTTAAACTTGCTGTCACAGAAAATGTAGCTCAGAGATGGTTCTAGCCATTTTCCTCTTTGTCTTGGAAGATAGCATAACTGGATTTTGTTCCTCGGGCAAGACATTCAAGAACAGAATGAGTTGTCTCAAGCAGGACCCAAAGCCTGTCAAGTCAGTCCTGGTTGCTGGGGGCTTCTCTCTTGCCTTGTTTTTCTTTAAATTTTTTTTTTTCTTTTTTCTTTTTGCTCTAACCCTTTGGAAGCAAGAGCCCTTCTAGCTCCTTCTCATTAAGCTCTAGCTTCAGTAAACCTATTAAGATTGGGGCTAAAATCTAGGTCCTTGGTAATATCCTGATCTTGTCACCTGCACTGCTCTGTTGCCTGGAACCTCTGGGCCAAGTACATGATGTCTGATTCAATTGATTCTACATCAACTGAACTGTTGCTGTTATTTTTTCTAATGGAATAACTGCTGTTATTTTTTCTAATGGAAGAACACTGAAAGGTTTGACCAGACCATTAATTTGATTTTGGATGAAAGCCATAAAAGAGTGTTTAGTTCTTCACAGGGATTAGAATAAGTAGTATAAGAGCTATACATTGTAAGAGGTGATAGCGTTACAGTCACTGGAGAAATTGATGAAGAGAGACATTCTGTGGTTGACTTAGGAAATATTCAAGCAGAACCTCTAAATTCTATAGCACACTGAGAAAAACTACATAAATTTGACATCTCTAAATCTTGTTCAGAAACTGATTATTCTGAGGAAGAGGTTTGGAATTTTGGGGACTGTGGAATTTGACTTCATATTGATTCATTATAACATGTAGGTTAAAATATTTCTACATTTTTTATTGAAAAACAAAAAATAGCTGCCCTGAGTTTTGCTACTTAAGAGCAGACTTAGGAGAAAAATCATTTTCATGACAAAGAACTTCCTCTTTGCTTATTGAAGATCAACCTCCCAGTTATCCCACTGAAGTTCTGAGAAGTTAGACTTATCTACATCTTTTCTCTTTTTGTACCTATTTTAAGGAGACCACTAAAATATGGAAACGTATCTCCTTCATAGTAGGACTATTAGACATTTTTCTAGTACAGTTGGGCATATCCATGATACCTATTATGTATGAGTCTCCTCTTTCAATTAACATCCTGATAGCATTTTAGAAATCTAGCCACTTCTGATTTATATATTTGGTGTTCATATACTCTCTGGTTTTTAATTGAGCAAGATTAACAGTCCCACTCTAGCATCCCAGGCAGATCAAAATAATTTAGGCCTTCCTGTCTGTGTGTGTAGGGTTTTTTGTTTTTAACTTAGAAAAATGGAAGTTTGACTCTCCAAAGCATCCTACTCTGTGGACCCCTACTTAATCTCTGCCTTAGAGAGAAATGTAGTTGTTGATTTTCAGAAAAAAAAGAAGAAAATAACCCTTATGTCAGATCATTTTTAGTATAGTAGACTTGAATATACTTCTTTTTTTTTTTTTTGAGAGAGAGAATTTTTTAATATTTATTTTTCAGTTTTTGGTGGACACAGCATCTTTATTTTATTTTATGTGGTACTGAAGATCGAACCCAGTGCCCCTTGCCATGCACGTTACCACTTTAGCCACGTCCCCAGCCCTTGAATATACTTCTTGATGTCCATGTTGAACCATATCAGGCTGAGGATCTGAAAGTTTTGAATCCTAACTCCTCTTAGGATGTAAGCAGTTTTAAGTCAGTCTTGTGAAATGGAGAAGGTATTTCCTATCATTGATTTGTTGTAGGGATTAAATTAGAGAATGTACATAAAGACGTATTTAACAAGCTCTAAGTTGTTGGGGTTTTTTTGTTTGTTTATCTTTTGCAGTACCAGAGATAGAAACCAGGGCCTTGCAGTACCAGAGATAGATAGGAAGGTGTTCTACCACTGAACTACCCCCCAGCCTGTTAATGTTTTCTTTATTTATTTATTTTTTGTTGTTATTGTTAATGTTTTCTTTGATTTATTCATCCATCACAGATTTTATTAATGAATGCTGGCTAGACACTATTCCAGGCACTTGGAATGAAGTAAACATGGCATTTGGGGCCCCTGCCTCATGGAACATATGTTCGAGTGTCATTTGGGATTGTTCAGGGTTTGATGAATTCAAAGTAGGCACATCCTCAGATGAAAAGGGGGAGACCCAGGCCACATATTTATTACTTGGTGCTTTCCCAGCTGGCAGAGATGGAGGAAGAGCTACGGTATGCACCACTGTCCTTCCGTAACCCCATGATGTCTAAGCTGCGAAACTACAGGAAGGACCTTGGCAAACTCCATCGGGAGGTGAGAAGCACACCTTTGACAGCCACACCTGGGGGCCGAGGAGACATGAAGTATGGCACATATGCTTTAGAAAATGAGCATATGGTAAGTATTAGCTGGTTGATTTTTTTTTTTGTTTCCCCTTCCCTGAAGGAACTGTGGTACAAGAATTAAACATTGTGGAGTTGCAGTTCACATTATCAGTGCATACTGGATTCTTGGGTTTTTTAAAATTGTAGTTCCCTTTCTTGCATCTAATTCTTCTTTTCCCTTGTGGTACCTGCTTTTTTTAATGCAGATCTTTTGGCAGGGGTGGATAATTGAAACTAGGGGCACATAACCACTGAGCCACATCTCTAGCCCTTTTTATGTTTTATTTTGAGATGGTGTCTTGCTAAGTTGCTTTGAACTTGGGATCCTTCTGCCTCAGCCTCCTGAGCCACTGGGATTAAAGGTGTGCATTACCATTCCTCACTTAATGCATATCTTTCTAAACCCTATTTACTTAGATTTATGTCATATATGTATGTATATCTTTTTGTGTAGTAGTATATAAATGTTTCTTATTCCTACCTGAACTCTGTTCTGACATGTTGATCTAATTTTTTTTTCTTCTTGAGGTTTATTCTTTCATATACATTTTAGAATCACTTTCTCATGTAGGCTCCAAAAAGTTCATTTAGGTTTTTCATTTGTCAAAATATTATAACAAAATTAATCTTTCCTTTACCTTAATATCAAAATGGTCCAGCAGCTATCCAAGAAAATGCAAGGTGCTTCTCAAGAAGCCCCTCCACCTCCCAGGCACTGGGGATTAAACCCAGGGGCACTTTACCACTGGCTACATCTCAAACCCTTTTTACTTTTTGAGAAAGTTTCCAAGGTTAGCTTGAATTTATGATTCTCCCAAGTAGCTGGGATTACAGGAGTGTGCTACTACACCAGCTCAGAGGCTTCTGACACCTCTTCTAATGGAAAATGAGCCTGATTACCTCTTCAGGGTTCTGGTTTATAAAATTGGACTAATTAAAAACTTACATCCTGGAATCATCTAGAGAATCTGGTTAAAGATATTTATCACAAGATTTCACAAAGATTAAATTTAATGGGTTGTATTTGGATTATATTTTACAAATATAGTACAAAGTAGAAATTAATATTACAGATTGTATGTTAAGAGAAATGGAAAGGGGCCCACCATTGCAGACCAAACTTATGGAGAGATGCTGGTAATAGAAATAGTTCATAATGCATGCTGATTATAGTCTGAAGGACATTCAGAATGTTACTGGGTTGACATATTTGATATCAAAACAAGATATTTTGCCAGGACAAGAGGTACACACTGACTGTCTGGTGACTCAGGAGACTGGCAGAAGGATCGCAAGTTCAAGGATAGCCTTAACAATTTAGCAAGACTGTCTCTCAAAATAATAAAAATAAAAATAGCTGGGGATATAGCTCAGTGGTAGAATGTCTTTGGGTTCAATCCCTCATACAGAAAAAAAGAAAAACCACATTTTGAGAATGATGTAAAACTTTCAAATGGATAATTATAAAATCACATGAAAAGACTGGAGGGCTGGGATTGTAGCTCAGTGGTAGAGCACTTACCAAGCATGTGTGAGGCACTGGGTTTGATTCTCAGCACTGCATGTAAATAGGTAGAATACCCAAAAACAACTAATAAAAATGGTTAAAAAAAAAAAAAAAAGACTGGAAAAAGCCAGGAAGGTGAAAGTTTTATAAAAGTGGCTTTGGCCATTGTTACCAGAAACATGGAGGGGATGTATCCAAACATTTTGCTTTAAATTTATTAGTTTCAGAAATTTTAAATCATAATTTTTTTTAAGTGAGTCTCACTGTGTTGTCCAGGTTGCCCTCAAACTGTTGAGCTCAAATGATTTTTTTTCTTCAACATTCTGACTATCTAGAACTATTAGGTACATGCCACCATGCCCAACACCATAAATCATAATATAGATTATATGTACCACTTTCTTTGTTTTTTTTTTCTTTTTAGAGAGAGAGAGAAGAGAAAGAGAATTTTTTAATATTTATTTTTTAGTTTTCAGTGGACACAACATCTTTGTTTGTATGTGGTGCTGAGGATCGAAT